ATTACAATCGATTGTTATTGGATCAGCAGATTGAAGAAAGGCTTTAATACCTTTGATAAATGAATAATAATCACTTTCAAGTGAGAAATAAATGACAGTCATCTCACCATGAATCATCTTGATGAATCCATGTATCCCTGGTAGAAAAAATGGATCCACAAAGATTTCATGTAATGAATATAACAACCGTTTTTACAATATTTTTAACAATGGTTTTACAAATATTAATAAAATATTGTAAAAACGGTTGTTATGTACAATGCTTTCACTATGTGAAATCTTTGTGGATTCCATTTCTTTCTACCGGTAACTAAGGTCTTAAATTTTCGATGGTTAAAGAGAATAGAAGTGCTGGCATCATTTCTCTTGATCCAAAAATGAGAACCTTCATTACTGGATATAACCCGAGCGCGAAGTTATAGAATAAAGAAGAGTAGATATATAACTTATGCTTGCATTATGATAGAATCAAGATCATATTATATAAGCGTAAATATATAAGCACCGTTGATGCGTATGAATGCATGCTACGGATCCACAAGAAAATTCGTAATCTTGTGGATGAACGTCATCGAAAATTTGCACGAAAACCACCATTACTCTCTAAAGTTTAAAACACAAAATATGGTCAAAAACGAAGATGGTTAATCTAAATCTGCGAAGCAAATGTTGACCTGATCACATATCCGTTTTTGCCGATATTTGCTCCATAAATCCCCGAATATCCTTGGTGCAAGGTGACAATTTGCATTCGTGAATGCACCAATAAAATGTGAATGCATCAAACAAAACCTGGGTCCTCAAAGACCTTTAGATGTGCATTTTACAATCACACCATTGACAAAGATGTAAGCAGAACCTGTAATATACTTTTAAAGTATATTAACGAAACACAAAAAGAGTCACTCGCGATGTTGTAGCTTCCCCTGAGACATTTCATTCGGCTGTCTACTTGCGCTTTGGTATAGGTTCAATGTAAGGTGTTAATTTTAAATTTAACGGAACTAATTTTTTTTTTGTATAATACAACGTTTTAAAAATTACATCCATTCGTTTTCAAAATACAACGGGTCCTCAAATTAATTAATTAAAACACTTAATTACTAAATTTAGATCACATACAATGCAAAATCTTTCATAATATGTACGTACATATGCAAACAATATTAATATTAATATTAATCTGTTACACGAAAAAAGTGCATTAGGGAAAACACGTAATTCTGATATTTTTAATTAACCCATAGCTTTTTATTAGATCTTCAAATAATAATAATTTGATTGATCTTTTACAATTGATTAATTTTTTAAAAAATAATACAATATTTTGACTTTAATTAGTTAGTTGATTTATTAGATTAATATTCTGATTAACCGATTAATTAGGTTAATTAGATTGATTAACTAGTTCTTCATCATAATCATCATCACCAACAACAAAAGCTGTATTGCTACAACAGCACACGAGCTAACAATATACACTTTTCAAATAAAAAACTCATGCACCAATTATAAACAGCCTACGAAAATTGTTATTTGGTAAATAAACTTTTTATGTTGAAAATACAATATAATCTATTCAAAGTGTTCGGATTATTTTATACTCCTTTTAGTAAAAATTTGTTAGGAGAGAGAAGATCGGACAAAATTTTAATTATGTTTGAGATAAGAGATAAAATAATAAATTTGGGCTTATTATAAAAAATTCATGTGAATGGATGGATGAATGAGATGGTGTATGAATGGACGGATGGATGAATGAATGGATGACAAAGTTTTTAAATTAAAAAATTTGCGTAACAATATACATAAATAAATATCTAGCTAGTATTTAGCATGCATTTTTAATATAAACATTTACGTTATTGCGTATGGAAATCTTTTAATGATGACGATGATGATACTTGCCCAACTTCTTTATAATTAAATATATCAGATGATGAATAGGAATGACTATGTTATCATAATAGCTAATATTGTTTACAATTGCTTATTATTCGGAAAAACAAAATTCTTTTTCTTCGCGCGTATACACACACAATCAATACTAATGCATTTATGTTTCTTCACTCGTTCACACAAAATTCATTTAGATACTCTCTTTTCTTTATGCCAGTTTTACATATAACAATATATAAAAATATATTTTTTATCCTGTTCGTATTATTAAATATTTTGTGTAATGACGTCTAATTCATTCAGCCAATCAATTTTTATTCCGATTTTAATTTGGCCGTAATTTTTATCAACGATTTTTATTTTTTTACCCAGTCAACCTCTAGAACATTCTAAATGATCGTCAAAGTAATACAAATGAATTCTATTTATTCCACGCCCGCCCCATCAAATTT